AGGCTGCGCCGCGGGTACCGCTGACCAACAAGCGCGGTTCTCCTGGGCTTCAAAGGAGCCTTCGACATTTCGGACGGACTGATTCTTCCAAATATTCTTCATTGAAGATGCTAACATTCTTCGTGCCATGTATTTCCATATCCCCGCTCGGGTCAGGGTGTACAACAAAGAGCTCGAGATAGCTCAATGGGTAAGGTGCAACTTACTAGCCGAAGGTCTGTAATTCGAACCCAATCTAGGTATGTCGACTTCCCCTGTCTAGGCTTGAGCAACCTGACGGTATCTCAGCCATCGTACTTCCTTCAGGTGGCCTCGAAGCTGAGCATCGAATCGGTGTTGCAACTAAGTATTGTTTACCATTATTATGAACTGTTTAAAAGCCACACAACCAGTGGATTTTCCCAGGTCCTTTCCATCTTTCTCCTTTATCCGGCTTTGTCATTAGCAATGCGAACAGTGTTCATCAGCTGGCGTCAGAAGCGGATTTTGCTGATAGAAAGGTGCAGTGCATACTAGACAACCGTAGTTGTGAGACTTGCCCTTCCGATCCGAGTACCCGAAGCGTCTTCGTAGTATAGCGAAAGTGAGCTGCCTGCAGCTAGTCTGCAATGACGGTGTTTAGGCGAGTCCTTTGTAAAGACTTCGATTTGTTAGAGCAGCAGATGAATCTTACCGGGTCAAGGTGGTTGGGATATGTAGTGTGCACGTGTAACCGTCGTATACCCAAGAAAACGTCTTCTTTTCCAAACGATTTTGGGCAAAACGTTCGCGGAGAACAGCCTATGATATGACAACGTGAGGCAAAGGCGGTTGCATTCAAAATGCGTGCCGCGGGATCTCCACTCCTCCATGGTCTTGACCCAGTTGATTTCCTTGCGCGACATGGCATGCAACCGATTCCAGTAGTGCGCATGCTGGACGGTCTAGCTAAAGTTAGCCTCTCGTTGTGCGCCAAGCTTCTGTCAGATGTGGTCCACAATGGATGCTTGGTCAATCCACCTGATAGCTTCTTAATTCGACACAATGCTCAGATGCATTTATTTCAGGGATGTATTCACCATATAGTGGTTTTCCTTAAGGACATCAGACTACCTCACTCCCCCATGGTTATATGGTAGTTAAGCCCTAGTATGTATTACTGGTGTATTGCTGTCAATGGTAATGATGATGTCCTGGTTCGGTTTTGTGTCTGGCTAGCGGCCAGGCTGGCTATTTTTTCATTTGTCTCTCAACTTTGATACATTATTGCTATCCGAAGTTTCCTAGGTGGTAATCTTTTCTGGTGATCGCGTTGTGTTCACTGGGGTTCTGGAAGAAGCCTGTGTGCTGAATAGCCACCGTACGGAATAAAACTAAAAACATCAAGTTCTGCGCTTGGTTTGATGTGTTTATCCAGTCGTGCAACATCAAGGGTAAGGTGAACAACGGAACTCCTCTTCAAGTGCTTGGGTTCCATCGTGTTATCTAATGGGTAAGCGAGGGATGAAATCCAACGGCGTATTAAACACACCTTGTATGCACTCACGCTGAGGAGTAGCGTTATTTGGGGAAGTGAGGATACCGGTTTATGCATTCCGTTCTCAAAGTACCTTAGTGGTTTTGGCACAAACGTACCGAGAGGAAGGTTCGTGATTCGAACCCAACACCGGCATCTCGACTACTCCTGTCTAGATATGGGGAACCTGACAGTATCTCTGCCTTCATGCATCCTTCGGGTGGCATGGTAGCTAGGCCCTGAAACGGTTTTGCAGCCGGACGGTTATTCATTTATCTACTCTGTCCAACGCAGTTTCTCTCTTACGTCGAAACCTGGCCTCTACAAGCAGTAGACCTTCGTAAGTTAGAGGCTTTTTTTTACCTCTATTACCTTCGATGAACAGTGAAAGTAAGCAATTTTTGCATGTCCACAGATGATTGCCTAAACGCCCTCAAGACCCTTGTCCATCTCAGCTCGTTCAACGACGTCGGTACTTGATGAGCGCAAGGACGATTCTGTACTTTTCAAGCAAACCTTTGGCTCTACGCCATTTCAAGAGTGTAGCCTTACCCCCGGGAGATAAATGAAGGCGTCATGGAACGACTTAGTGTCCACCCGGTCGACGGAGTCCGTTAGTAGAAACAACAAGTCCAAACGTCACTGACATACTGTCGTAGCTTATTCCAAGCTTTCATCTGTAGGAAACTATCGGATGAGTGTGGAGGGACGCCGATGGCGCAAGACCTGCCTCGTCGTTCTGTCCATGGGCCATCATAGGTGGGAAATTTCTCGAGCTTTAATTACGCTTTTATACGAGCAAGTCCGACCTATACGCCAGGAAGACATGGAGAGCTGTTACAAAGCTGCCATTTTTCTTGTCCGATTCAGTTGGACAAATCGTCTAATCCCACAAAAATGTCACTTCTTCTTCTTCATCATCATCAAGGAACAGTGCCTACTGTTAGTGCTCTGGTTGTAACGTAATTAGGTTGATTATCAGAAGGTGGCAAGCACTAACAAGTATTTGTTTTACCAGAATGATAAATACAATAGTTAGGTGCACCTGATAAAAATAGGTACAATGCGAAAAGTGAAATGAGCCAAAAAGTGACTCATCGTTTGACGACAACTGCTGAGAGTCCCTGAGTGAAGTTCCGGACGCGGGACTTGCCTCCGTGGAGACTTGTGGAACTCGATTGACTTCCCATCCTGTGTGTGTGTGTTGGACCGAGTTGTATGCCTATTCATGGTGTGCAGTATGGAGATAGGAATGTCCCTTCGTGTTTGATACTCGCACGAACGTGGTTACAAGTTAACCTGATGTGTTAAAGTTCGTAAGCCGGGCGCGTGACACTTGTGGTAGCCGCGTAAACAAAAATGGATGGGAAGTGGTAGTGTACATGTTGTCGGCTAAGTTTGCAAGTGAGGCAGGAATTATCACGTGATTTGAGTGTTTTTGACGCGTGATCTACTGAGTGACTGCTACATTCCACTGTCGTACAACCACAAAGTCCATTTAATTATAATCAAAGCCTTAAAGTGAAAGGAAGGGTGTCTAGGGAGGGAGCTTATGCTGGCCTATCGCAAGCGTTGTGACTTACTTACATCCTCAAGCGTTCAGTCAGACGATCTGCGGGGGGGGGGGAACTGAACACGAACGCCATTACCATGTATTAGCCGCCATTTCTTGCAATGTCTCCAGTCACGAGCGTGAGTGGAGTGGCGGGAATCCTATCCATGTGGGTGGGTCGCACCAAATACACCAAACTCTCCGCAATCTCATACCTCTCTTCAAAGTCCTGGGTTGTCCACATCGCAATTTGCCTCATTCTGAAGGAGGCACGGTGAACAACACTCGTCTCGGCAGGCGATGTTTTGGCATGTGTAGCACGTGACCGGCCCACAGCAACTGGTGGTGCTGGATGTTTTATGCGACTGAAATGCTTTCTGCTCAAGTAGATACCGGTTTCATACTTTTTACGAATCAGTTGATGCCACCCGACGCCAGCAACACTTCAGTGGTCAGAAACATGAAGGGGCCGCATCTCGCACGAAGGTCCGATTCCCGAAACTCTATTATTCGCTAACCTCGCTAATATCGCTTCAGGATGGCCACCGAGCCTGCCGACCAGAACCGCCATCTGTCGATCAGACGTTCAGGCAACCAGCAGCGACGACCGATGGTGCTCAATTGTTCAGGTTTTTCATAAGAGCGATGTCGACTAACAGCTCAACGTCGACCGGACATCCTTGATTCAAGGTCAAAAACAATTTTCGAATATCGCGACAATCCCTGTTATTTTGTAGTCGTTTTTCAGAATAAAGTTGATATGCTCTTCTTTGCTGAGTTTTTTTCTTCACTGAGGTGCAGGGGCCAGGGTTCGCATGCGTTTGCAACAAGCATACACGTACTACCGTCGAGCCCTACGGTATCCAGCTGAAAATTCGGATTAATATCATCGAGTGTTTTTGAATATCTGGGTCTACGGGCTGTACACAGCTGCGGCACTGGAACCGACATTGGGTTAACATTTGAGGAGCTGTGCGTGAACACTAAATATTTGGGACAACCAAGAAGCCGGCACATCTTCGTACACGTCAGTTAGCATGATTTTCCGACCTTTTAGATAGGCGTTCTTGCATTTCCGCCAAGCGACTCATTCAGTCAGTTACAAACTCTGTGCGGGTTACATTGGCTCCAGCTGTACCGGTTTCGTTCATTGAGAATAAGGGAAATGATGGAATAGCAGTAACGCATTAGAGGCGATCGCCAGACAGTTCGCCGACCTTAACTTGTTTCAAAGTTAAGGTAAAACTAATCATGTTTGAAGTCTTTGAATAGGTGGCTTAGGTTGGGTGTTTTTTGAACCCAAGATAGCTCAAATCAAGGTGCCAACTTACCGAGAGGAAATTCCCTGGTCCCAACCCAGCATCCGAGCATCTCGACTGCTTCTGTTTAGGCTTGAGCAACCTGACAGTGTCTCAGCCTTCGTAGTTCTTTCAGCTGGCATGGCAGCTAGGCACCGGAAGAATGTTACGGCTGGACGGTTAAAATTGCCATTATTATTGAGCGTTTAGCCTTTAAAGTGTAACACGCGTTACCTGTGAGGGTTTTAAGGTTTGGAATAATACCCCATGCAGATCAGGTTGTAGAAGTGCTACCACCTGGTTGAGGAATCTGTAGTTTGACTTCACCTTTGAAATTTCGATTGGTTCTGTCAAGCTCCTGACTAAATTTAGCCTTCTTGTTTCTTAGAGGTTTTGCGGCATCAGAATGTTTTCCATCAGTGTTTTTGATCTTTTCCAACTGTTTATCACTAGTAGTGTAGTTCCAGCCTGTTTGGGATATTCCATAACTTATTGATTCTTGGTATTTTTCTTTGCTCCTCAGTTAATTGGATATTTCATCTTCACTTCGATAATTTCTGGTTTCATTTTTTGGCCAATTTACCACACTACCTCAATGGCGTGTACGGTAAGCTACTTGATTTCTCACTGCTTGATTCATTTCTAATTTGCTTCAGTCTTCTGCCCTGCCCACTATTATTAGCTTCACAGACGATGAATTTCACAAAACATGTTTTGCCAGCTTCGACCAGATGCGACGCAAGGGAAAGTTGTGTGATATTACCCTGTTGGTAAGTTCCTTTACCAACGGTTGTTGTTTTCTATCCACTTCTTGCAGTCCGCCGCTTCCAGGCGGTTCGCTGCTCACAAAATTGTTCTGGCCGCTACCATACCGTTCTTCAATGGCATGTTTCTGAGTAATATGGCGGAGGTGAACAAAACTGAAATCCCTATGCTTGGATTGGATGCTAGGTTAGTGCATCATGCGAACTGTTCTCAATCTATCCTCCATGTTCTTTCAGCGCGCTTGAGGCGTTTGTCAGTTTTGCTTACACAGGCTCCATCCAAATAACTCCATACAATGTACAATCTTTGTTGATCGGAGCAAGCTTTCTTCAGTTGACAAGCATTCGGAATATTTGCTGCCGATACATAGGAGAGAGGTGAGTGAGTGAATGTTACCATAATCAGATATGGCAACATCAGTGTTGGCCTCGCTGCCGTGCAGCCACAAAGCCCGTTTGATTGTATTTAAGGCCTCAAAGTGAAATAAAAAGGAGTGGACAATAGAGGGGCCCGGTGCTAATCATTTTCCGAGCATTCTGATAATCTGAAATGAGTGCTGTTAGGTGAGTAAATACGCGAGTGAGCGGGCAGATAGTTAAGTATGTGTATCAATGGCAAAACACACCATACCAAAGACGTTATCCTTCTGTGTAAACTCCACTCCTCACCATTTGATGCCACAGGAGTTATCGATTTTGTGAATTGAAATTGAATAACTTAGTTGTTTCTGTACACAGTGTGTGTAAAACAATCTTTTCATCGTCTGGAAATATCTTCTGCAATGAAAAATAAAGTCTACACGTAATACACTACTCATAAGGTTGTTGGAAACTCTTCTAAAGCTTACGACCGTTTTCGCCCTTTTAAAAAAGACATAAACGAGGGATTCAGCTGGGTTCCAGATGAGTCTCCCGTCATCCTGTCTTGGTTGATGAGGACCACATACGAGGTTGATTGAGTCTCAAATGCAGCGACCTAGGTTCTTAGTGTGCGTCCCCGTGTAGTCCTTCGCTGCTGAATTTTTGTTTAAAAAGGTACCAAACAAAATCGACGTACCTCTCTTCAACGGTAGTATGCTCTTCTGTTTGTTCCAGGTTATCACCTTCAACCGTCCTCACCGTCCGGTCTTTTGCTCTGAGCTTTATGTGCAACAATTTGCTCTTGGCATGTGAAAACTACATCTTTGATCACTTTGATGCTGTGTCACAAACTGACGCGTTTCTATCCCTCGATGGAGCAGAGTTGATGACGCTTTTAGAATCAGACGACTTATGCGTGGCCAGTGAGGAGAATTTGTTTCAAACGGTTATGAAATGGGTCGAGCATGAGGACAAGGACGAGAAAAATGGAGACTGTACGAGCGCACTTGACTTACTCCCTTCAGCCTTCGAAACACAGTCGTTGCCGTTCCCTGGTTTTGAATATGGTGTTTCGCAAAGTGAATGTGTTAGCTTGCCGTCAACCTGGTCTGACCTCAAACGACCGCTTCCTTTCGGTTTTGAACCACCGAATTCGACTGCGTCCAGCAACCTACATGTCGCCAAAGATGTCCGATCACGAATAGACCTACTCCCAGAATTGCTGAAGCGAATACGGTTGCCTCTTATCCCAGCCCATTATATTTCCACTGTGATCTCCAAGCACAGACTGATTCGTGAAAGTATACACTGCAGGTAAGTTGGGTGACTTTTGTGTTACTTAGTGAAGGTGTACGAAGTTTAAGTTTGTGTTGTTACCATGTAGTGCTTTACACCTTTCCGTAGGATTACTGCTTCCTTCTGATTACACCGTGGAATCAAGGGTTCTGTTTATGGACCTTAACATTCCTTTGTTTCGAATTTGGGGATCTCGGCAGGATCACCACCCTCCGCAAAGCCGCAAATGCAGAGGACTGTTGCTCTAAGTTCTTCTCAGTGATATCCACTAGTAGCGCTAACAGTCAGTCACCGAGTTGCATAACTACCTGGTGATGGTACTCGGTTTCTGAGCAGACAAACATAGTTCATGGTTTGGGGACCGGAGAACTCAATTCTAAAGGCTACCGGGACACCCAAAAATCAGAGGACAAGTCGGGCAACAGGCCAAGGTCGATCTGGGCAAGTAGACCCCATATCAATCCACACAAGCATAATAATCACGCACTTCACTCAGCATATCTGGATTGTTGATGAAACGTTTGAAATCGAATTGCCCAGCTTACCGAACAAACCAACGGCCATCATTTCTGAGCCTCTCCAGGCCACACGATACTCTACTGGCTTCCATTGTCACTCCGCCGGGGGAGTAACGTCTTGCGTTTACTGACACTAACCCTATCCACCTATGTAAAGACATCAGGATGTTGAACCTTGTCGAATGTTTCGTTAGTCGGTCCACATTAGGAAATCGTATGCTCTGTAACATCGTAATCCAGCTAAGCCGTTTTGCCGTTCCAGTTTTAAGCTTCTTTAAGAAACATGCTGACCTTTAATCATATCCATCTGTAAATCTAGGGCGAAGGGTGCAATGCCTATTTTGCAAACCTGTTAACGATGTCCTAATTCAGAGAGTAATTATACTTGGTTACGATTTGCTCCGGGCTGTTTCTATTTACCGTACTCCATACTAGGAGAGCCATCCTTTTACATACCTTTAAAATGATTGCATCATCGTTAGATTAACATGATAACTCCCAGAGAGTGCGGGAATCCTCAATCTTCTCGTCAGTACTGGACAAGTTTCTAGCAGCCGGGACCGATAAACTGTTCACTTTTTGTATCACCGTCATTGTTGGCAGCAACACCAAGGAGAACACTGGTGCTTCACAACCGCGCAAACATGCCAGTTTGATTAAAGCCTTACAAGAAAAAATGGGACAGAGTAAGAGACTTAGAGCTAACCAGCCACAAGTATCTGAGGTGACTACACCATTGCAGCTGAAGGGAATATTGATAGCTCAGGCTGTAATGATGGTAGTTGGTTTGTTCACTGCAGCCAACCTACGAAGCTCAGGGAACAAACCAATGGCCATCGTGACTAAACCTTCAACACTGAATGAGACAACCTGGGTAGAACCTGACAATCAGTGTTCTGTTAGCCACCATATTGTTTAATGTCTCCAGCCGGACGCAAGGAGCGTCACGTTTACCCCATCCTGAAAGGAGAACAGCACCAACATCGCTCAAGCACTTCGTATGATCCTTATTCTGCGGTGTCAAATTCTCTCCACCTCTAGTTTTCCACCACTCCGAATTAGGCAGGGAGAACAACAGTTTTCTCAGCATCCGTAATACGTGAACCAGCCACTTGAGTTTGCGGTGCTGGGTGCATTCCTCGAGATGACGTAGGATGATGATGATGATGGCATGGAACAGATTTAGCTGTGTAGACTGTCAACGCATGTTCATCATATGATACCGTCCTGCTTGGACCGCTTGTCGGTCCATTGACATAACAGAGTCCATTTTCTCACCAGCTGTTCAGCTGCAACACCCTTGTGGCACTTTTCTGCCACTCTACTTGAAGGAAGCACGAAGGCTGAAACACAGAAATAGTCGAGTTTGCGTTCGAACCATCTCCTCTCGGTAAGTTTGCGCCTAAATCAATGAGCTGTCTTGTGCTCAGTTGAAACCAAATTCGCAAGTGATGTAAATAGCTAATTGAGAATGGTCGTGAAGTTCCATGCGCACGTCGCAAGCACAAAAGGTTATTTAGCTTCAAACTTGGAAAAGCCCCATTCCGAGCCATGTTGGTGTTTTAATATTGAGTAGAAACATTTGATTGCCGTCTTTTGAAGCTCCTCTTGATATGCATGTGACGTCCTCTTTATTTTTCCCTAAGCCTGCCTTTCGTTTCCAGTGGCTTTTTAACGCTTAAATCTATGCAGGTCCATGTTTTTTAACCAACCTTACTGTCTTCTTGAAATCGTTTCTTTTTGTACTTCAGAGATCTCCTCGATGAGGTGAGAGATATGTTGATTCTGCGCAACCGCCCATCTTCAGGTTCATTCAGTTGTAAACCTCGTCGTGGACAGGAGGTATTCGGGATCATCTATGCGGTTGGTGGCCTAACGGTTAGTGGTGATAGTCATGGGATCGTAGAGACCTACCATCCATCTCTGGGACGATGGGAGCTAGCTGAACAAATGCCTTCACAACGAAGTCGTATAGGTGTAGTGACTTTGCATGGTAGGTTCTCCATAACGTATTCTACTCGAGTTCTGTTTTATCCGCTTGGTCTTTTATTGTTTAAGCTTCTAGCTTGACATAGTGAATAGTGCGTACGGTTTGGGTTTAGCAATCGAGACACACCAGTGACTACTTTGGCGCTGGTTGCGGATAGCATTACCGTGCGCTGACAGTCACCCGTCATTTACTGTTTGTACATCTATTCAGTTGATTTCATTGCATAGCTATCCAGTCCCAATCGGACGATGACTAAACTCTACCCGGTGGGCTTTTTTCTCCCACTGCAATTCTCTTTGGCCGATTAGTTAGCCAATGGGTAAGACGAGGGGACCTCTCAAGTAAAAGGTGAAGTAACATTCCGTAGGTGACCAATGTCTGGAACCAAAGTCTGTCACTGAGACGCCGTTTATACTACTATACGGAAACTAAAAGGTGCCGAGCAAGAAGTGTGAGCAGTCACGTATTGTTGCGGTATCTGGTGAACCTAAAAGCAACCCTTCCCCGACTTCAGAGTAGTGTACATTTCATTTCGATGATATAATACTGTGCGTATAGATTGTTCGGGCTATTTTCGGATAACAAATGCACTGCAGCTGTGAACGCAATGTTTGGTATACTCAAAAATGGTATTATAAAGACGTTTTGTTGTACGGCGGTTTTACACATTACTTTCCATTGCATACGAAAGTAGTAGATAAGGTCAGAGACCTTGTTGCGGACAGCGATGCTCGGTCAGAGTGCCATCGATGATCTCTTCTCATTAAATCACTTCCGAACGTGTCTAGCAGGCTTGTAGACGGTTTTACAAAAGGCTGGTGACCCAACCCAAGGTCTTGGAGTAGGGGAACACTCAAGTCATTTATAGGTTGAGCAACGTCACATCCTGAGCTGCTTACCTTGAATCATCAAGAGGATATGGTCTCCTGACCAATGGCTTTGCGGTTCGAATCAGTTCTCTGGCTTTTCGGGTGCTCGTCTCTCAGCCTTTGTGCTTCTATCAACTCCTGTTACAGCCAAGGACTTCTATAGCAGTAAAATTGTTTTTAAGCCTCGGCAGTCATTTGTGAGTTTGAATCCACGCTTCCTCAATTCTAGTAGAAGTTATCTATCAAAACACACGGGCTAAAATGTCAATCCATAACCGGATCCAGGCAGTCTGACTGCAAAATGTAAGGCCAAGATCCTACTCCTCTGTTTCTCTTTCAGGTCTGCTCTACGCAATAGGTGGTTTCGATGGTACTTCACGTCTCAAAACCACTGAATTGTATGACCCGAAAACAAAAGTATGGAAGACAGTGGCACCTATGAACTTTGCACGTAGCGCGCTTGGCGCTGCCGCTCTGGATGGTCGTCTATATGTGTGTGGAGGGTATGATGGCACTTCCTCGTTACGCACCTGCGAAATGTACGATCCGAAACAGGACAAGTAGGTGCATGTTCCTTTGTTCTGTTCGCTTGCTCGTATTGGAATCATCAACTAAGATCCTTATTTTCTGTCGTTTTTTGTCTGTTTTTCCGTTTTTGAGGGACTCTCCTATTACCAGCTAATTGTATCGGTCTACTTAGCGATTGAGGCGCAGAGCTGCTGACCATAGGACCTGTGTTTCGACCTTCAGGCTGACTTCGGTTGCTCTTGTCTATGCTTGGTAACCTGGTAGTACATCAGCCCTTGTCACATGGAGTCTGCACAAAAAGGATGAAACATTATTCTTTCAATGACGCAATGGCTATCACAATTTCCTTTCCAAATGCTAACACGGCAAATTGTTTTGCATGAAGTACGTGAGTTGCAGGTCGTCTCGGGTGTTTCATGAGGAGAAAATTGCGATCAGGGTACAGTTGATTGCCAACAATTCTACCGTTTAGAACCTCCTATTGCAATCAATCCAAGCGTTTTTTTATCTTGGCAATGCAGTATAAACTATATTCGGATAAACAATTTTTCTTAAACTGACAGACCGACATGTCGTTAGATCCCGTGGATAAATTTCCTTTGATAGGATAAGTTAGTTTTACAAATGTTCCGTGATATCGCCGTCCAGAAACGGTGGTCGAAAGTTAGGTCCGCGCAGGCTGAGACCCACTCTGGATTCCAGGAACGACTACTACAAAGACGTGTTAAGACTGAACCAGTCCACATCTGGTTTGATGGTGCAAGTCCAGGTCATTGGCTGCCCTCATGCACGACAGCATCCGTCTACACATATCGAGGAAGTCGCTGCAAGTTAGGAGAACTTGCTTCCAGGTTTTCGGATTACGCGATCGAATCATGGAAGTCGTCGAGTCGCCTGAGATGTGAGATGCCAAAACAGAGTTCCCAAACCATCGAACTGGATATTCTAAGGAGCCACTAAATCTTCAGGAAGCGCCATATCCCTCAGTGGTGAAGGCCCCGAGCTTGCGAGTGTTCTTTATGCCAAGAACCCAAGTTTCTTGATCATAAATGAGGGCTAGGTTGATTGCCGCACTGCATACGCAAAGCTTTCTGCGTCATTCTTTCCATTCCCCCTACAAAAAGTCCTCATATTTGATAGAATTTGTACCTTACTGCGTCGATAACAAATCAGCCTCCTGCACCTTACTGTTGGGTAGGATGGTTGAACCTGACCGTCCAAATGTTGTGACCCGTTCAATTTCAGCGTCTTCGCGGACGGTTACCCAAAACCAGCACCTCGACTGTTCATGTCAGAGGCCTAGCCAACCTGACAATAGCTCAGTCCCCGCGCTTCTTTCGGGCGGCACGGCAGCCAGATACCGAAACCGCTTCTTAGTTGAATGATTATTATTTACTCCTAGATCGTGGCTAAATGCTCAGGATGTCTCCGTTTCGAATTTTCCTAGAGGTTCATGATGTGCACGCTGCTGCTGATTGTTAGTAAGCATCAGATAACGGTACAGTGTCTCTAGGCTTTTGGCATAGGTTGGCTTCAGCTATAGGACAAACTATCAATAGAAAAACATTTGGTGTTAATCGTGTTGTTATGCTGTTAGGTTGGTTGTTTCCTACTTTGAGTGTTCTTGATTTGTCTAAGCAAGATAGCAAGATTGAGCTCGACCTTGCTTGCACGATATTCTGATCCAATCATCTTTCAGCTTTTCGCTACGACCGGCAGTTTTCTACTGCTGTTGCTCGTCAAGATCGTAATAGGATACGGTCGCTTTGCTAGGTGATCTACCCGCATCCCATAGGCTAGTTTAGCAATTGTCGTTTGTATCAAGTTTAAGTGCCATCACCCGTATCACACTGCTTTGTAGTTAACCAACTAACGCAACATACCTAACTGCTCAGCTAAGTTGTGCGCCGGCCCGAGAAGGTACTTAAAAATCACCCATTTGCGCTTCTGATCCGAACGCGACCAAATTACCTGCATGATTCCACTAACGGACCCGTCAACCCCAACAGGCCTGTTGGAACTCGTTTGAGCGATGGCGGTCTGCAGGTTCGAGAAGCCTTAGAAATACCCGACCCTCTCTGTGTTAGATCGCTGGATCGATTCGAGGACCACGATCGATTCGTTATGAATGTTGCAAAACAAAATAGACAGATATGAACCATAGCACCCTATGTGGAAGAAGCTTTTGTTGCAGCGTCCGTTGCTGAAGATATGCCAGTCCTGGGCTAACGAGAGCAGATGTCGTATAAGGATTGCAGTCACAACATATTCCATATCTGTTCCTGCCAGGAAGGTCATATTCCTGAAGATTACCCCAGAATACCCGAAACCTACTGAGACCTTCAAAATCCAGACCATCAGCTCGTCAAGACGTGCATATGGCCTAGGTCGTAGTTGTTCGTGTATAAACCGGTATCGTTGGTGACCAGAGTGGAAAATACGTCATGGCGGCCACAAATTTCTTCAACTTCTCTCACCGGAATAGCTGAAACTGTGGACGACAAAACTGCCTGCATAATTTTATGCACGACATACTACGATTTTTGGAATTGCTGGACATCGCGTTCTGTTAGCCCTCTTCGGGATTTTCAATTAATCCTTGGAATACTTCATATGTTTAAAAGACTTCCGTACAAGTGCATGTTCTGTGTTGTCGGCACTATCAATGTGTTGCAATCTCTGAACTCAGACATATCCGTCACGTCCGCTTGTTGAAACAGATGCATATCAGTAAAGCAGCATACAGGAATGTAAGGGCCAACCCGTTTTTTTCACCCATATGCAGTTGATAAACCTTATGAGGGAAATCAGAGCCAGCCGAAATACGACGCTTCGTGTTATCATCATCATCACCATTTATTCGAATAAAGCGATGTCGTCTATTTGGAGATTCCACTCGCCTTGTGAGCAACCAAGTCTCTTATTAACAATAAGTTAATTCTAAGTGAGTGATCATTGCAAAAAAACTGAGTTTTGTGGTGCGAGATGCCTCAGTGGTTAGAGCGCGAATCTACTGACCGGAAGATCCGTGGTCCGAACCCGACCTCTGTATCTCAACTTCCCATGTCTAGGCGTGAACAATGTGGCAGTATCCAAGCCCCCGTGCTTCCTTCGGGTGGCGTGGTAGTTAGACGCCTAAAGAATGCAGGTGATTTTAGATTGAATTCTTGATGAACCCAAGTAGAGAGGAAACCAATGATAAGCTCTCCATGGTTTTCGTCGACCTTTAATCTCAATCGTTCCAACTGAAGCAAGAGGTGAGTTCTGTGGAGCGCGTTTAGTTTAAGACGAGAGATTCAGATGAAATCCAGGGGATTATCTCCCAAACATATCT